GCAGGTTGCCGACCCCTGTACTAGTCAGTCAGTTATATACTACTAGTGATATTTTATCATAAAGTGCGGGATGTTTCTCCAAACATATTTACATTTTAAGCTATAGTAATACTTACCCAAATGCTTCGAGCAGGGAACCCCAGGTTCAAGTTCGCTATCACGGTTATGCAATGTTTGGTGCTGTGTTAAATCCACCTTCTACACGGTGTACTGATTTGTGTTATACAAGGCGTGTACTGGGCTTTGAACTACTACTGCCAGAGTTCATGTTAGCTTGTAAACAGAACAGATGCATGTTTTCTGCCATCTAGTGTCCAATCAGTGCATTACTCTGTACTGCTCGATTGTTTACCTAGGCCAGAGCATTAAACTGCATGGGTGCATGCAAAAAAGTGTTTCCACAGCCTAAAATTACCACAAACGCGACCCAATTACATCTATGAGATCAGTTAGAAATGTGCTTATTAATGCAGTCATATTATCATTGAGATGGTTTATAGGTGTATAGAAGTAAAAGTTCTGAATGTTTAAACAGCAGCTGTGACTCATATAAATGGAATAACTTGGTTTATATGCACTTATAACTTAGTCTTCTGTATTTTAGGTCCTGATCCTTCCTGGCTCACACACGGCATTATGACAGAATGAAAATAGCCAAATGCTCCAAACTGGACAGTGCTTCGTAGTGATAATGGGTGATGACCCAAAGCAAACTCCAAGAGTTTCCCAAAGGCAAAGAAATGGGATATTCTCCAGTGACCACATCAGTCACCTGATCAAAGCTCTTGAGCTTAAATCGGGTGTTTTTCCACTATTAAATACAAGACTGAATGCAGAAACACCCATAAACAAGCAGCAACTGTAAGTGGCTGCAGAGCATCTCACTGGAAATGCTAAAATGTCACTATAGCAACTCAGAACGATAATCAGTAGTTTGTATAGCTTCTGACTATGAATGTCTGACATCATTGGTGCACACTCCTAATGAGAACACATGATGTCCTGGGTGTTCTCTTTCCATATCTAGACCAGGGAACCACTTAGACCCTGCACAGGCTGACGTGCAACTCGGTGGACCAAAATGTAATGTCCCAGAGGTGCTCTATAGGGTTTAGCGTAGGGTCCAGTCTATGGTTCAGTTTCTTATTCCTCCAGGAAATGCCTGCAGACTCTCACCACATGAGGCCAAGCATTGTTGTGCATCAGGAGGAACCCAGCACCCACTCCACCAGCATAGGGTAGTAGTTAATGGCAGCCATAGTGCAGTTGGCTAGCCTGTAGAGGTCTGTCCCTCCCTACGTTATTATATGCCTTCAATGTAACAATGTTAAAGGCAGCAAAACATTATTTTTCACATGCGTCTGTCACATATGCACAGGGTGAACTTGCTCTCATCTGTGAAAAGCGCAGGGTGCCAATGCTGGACCTGTAATTCTATGACAAATTCCAATCTGGTTCCACGGTGCTGAGCCGTGAGCACGGTGCCCACTTGAGGATGCCAGGCCCTTGTGAAGTCACTGTCTGATTGCTTGGTCAGAGACACTCACACCAGTGTCCTGCTGCTGGAAGTCATTTTGTAGGGCTCTGGCAGTGCTTATCCTGTCCTTGGTGGCTGATGGGTTACGGAACTTCTATAGCTGTGCCCAGCTCTCCAAGTGTAACTGCTTGTCTCCCGGAATCTCCTCCATGCTCTTGAGACTTTACTGGAAGACAGAACAAATTCCAGTGGCACATATGCCATACTGGAGGAGTGGGACTACCTGTGAAACCTCTGTAGGGTCCAGGTATCGCCTTGGGCTACCAGTAGTGACACAGACCCTATAGTTAAATGCAAAAGTAGTGAAAAAACAGTCTAAAAATATGAGGAGGAAAAAATGTCACTGGCCTCCACCTGTAAAACCATTCATGTCTTGTCATTTGTCTCATTGATGCCCCTCTAGTGCACCATTGTTATTTTCATTAACACCAAACATTGTTATCATCCAGCATTGGCTATTTTAACTGATATCAGCTTATCAGCCAATGAGATAACATTTACAATAAGTAGTGGTTTATCAACGGTGTCACATAAGTTACACTAGCTACATGTTTAAAGACAGTGTGATGATATTCAAGACCTAGAAGACTTTACTAAAATGTATTTACTTTCACTGAAGATTTATATGTTTTTTAGGAAATAAAGGAGGGAATAAATAACGACAAAAACAAAAGAAATAAAAATATATGATGGGCCAAACTGTTGACACAGTGACTATAGGCTCAAAATTTGCTAATCAGTTCTTTTAATCTGTTTGACACAGGACAGATACAGAAAATCTTTACCACTTCATTCGACAATACGTTTTATGTATTGGCTTTTGTGCATTTCTATACTTTGTTTTGTCATATTGTTGTTCTTTTATTTAACTATTCTACATTAAACTATGTAGTCGTGTTTTCTCTTATATTATCTTATCTTGTAGAAGCCAGGCAACACTCATAAGACCACAGGCTTGAGTAAGTCAATTAGTTTGTGGTGTGATCGTTTGCGTGACAGTTAATATGTGCTGTTGTGCCACAAATATTCACAATTCCCAAACAGCTGATGTAGCTACATGTCTGACTGGTATTATACACTGACTAATTATACATCTGATTGATAAATAGTATCAATACATGTATATGCATATCAGGACAAAATTATTACCCCCCATGAAATTTAAAGTTTTTGTCAAAATTGACCTGTGCTTTTTTAATAGCACAAGAGACTGTCAACATAGCACTTCCTGAACATACTATTTTTCATTAGACTGCACAAATTATTTCTGTTTGAACACAATAACAGTATTAATTCAGAAAAACAAAATTGACCAGGGTCAATATTATTATTCTCCTGAGAAACGGACTGTTTTATTTAGCCATGGTACAAACCACTGCTGTACGATGATGTTTTAACTTTGTGATGCTCAAAACTTGAAAAATTTAGATAAATTTAGACAAAACTGCAGTTTATCTTTCAATTTACACACAATATAAAAACTTCAGAAATATCACCAGACATTCAAAGAGTATAGCACAAAACAAGATTGACAGAGGTAGAAAGTAAAACTGGTGAAACATGTGTCTAAAGGCCCCAAACCAACTGCTAAGATTCTAGTAAATACCTTAGCTGAGCCTGCAATTGTAATTCAGTTTAATTCAATTTTATTTATACAGCACCAAATCAGAACATCAGTCACCTCAAGGTGCTTTATATTGTAAGGTAGACCCTACAATAATACATACACAGAAAAACCCAACAGTCAAACGATCCCCTGTGAGCAAGCACTTTGGCAATGGTGGGAAGGAAAAACTCAGTTTTAACAGGAAGAAACCTCCAGCAGAACCAGGCTCAGGGAGGGGCAGCCATCTGCTGCCACTAGTTGGGATATGAGAAGGAAGACAAGGTAGTCTTAAAGAAGAAAATAACTAAATCACTGCTCAGGAATGGACCCCAAGGTTTCAGACCAAGAAAAACTCTGCTTTTGCAAAACAGACACCTTCATGCTAGACTGGAGTATTCCCAGGACAACCTGGAGAAAGATTATACTGGCAGTGTGCCTAAAACTAGAGCTCTTTGGCCACAGAGATGTTGCTTATGTTTACAGAATAAACTGAGAGGCCTACAACCCAAAGAACATCATCCCCAGGGTAAACACGGTGGTAGGAGTATTATGCTATGGGGAGACTTCAGTGCATCAAGAACTGGAAATCTTATCAAAGCAGAAGCAATAATTAAGAAAGAATGGTGTGTGAAGATTATTTAAAAAAAAACTCAAACAGGAAAATTGTGTCCGTGTCATCACTTTACCTTCCAACACAACAACGACCTTGAGCATAGGTCGCTGATGGTGAAGAACTACCTACAGAGTCCCTGCCAGACAGCAGACCATCACATCTGAAGGAGCTTGAGAGATTTGCCAAAAAAGAATTGATTGCTCAAGTTTTGCTTGTGAGACTTGGTGAAAACTACAACAAATGACTCCAGGCTGTTATCCAGCAAAAAGGATACACAACTGACTGTTGGCAATAGGGAAGCTAATAATTTTGACCATGGTAGTTTCGTTTTTTCCTAAATAATTGTATTTCTATGTGTGAAGTAGTAACCATCCAAAATAAAACTAGGTTGTCTGTGTTTAAGATTCTTTGCTTTGTTTAACAGCATATAGGAAATACTCTTTAAAAAAAACAACAACAACAACAAAACAAAAAAAAAAAACATGGGGATGGGGGCACTAATTATCTTGTATAACACTAAACCTTTTCATGCTGTTAAATGGTTCGTTTAAGCAAAAGTCACAACTATGACTCCATGTGTACAAAAATAAATATAAAATAATGTAAAAATATTTATGTACGTATGTGGTGTCACAGCTGTCAAAACGCTGCTAAGAGTCTATGTGCGCTACACAGGTTTATATAAAGCTAACTCTCCAGCCCTTTGTTGTTGTTCTCACGCTAATATGCGAGATCCGTACAGCCGATTCGACTGCGCGGTCGCATTCCGCCCCGACTTCCCCTCTGCCAGCGGCCTGGTGGTTTGAGATGAGTAGAAGATGTCGGTTTCGGGGCTGAAGGCCGAACTGAAGTTTTTGGAGTCAATCTTTGACCCAAACCACGAACGATTCAGAATAATAGACTGGAAACCCGATGAACTCAGTTGCCAATTCAACGTAACAGGGGAGAAGCTGCTGATCATCCACTGCAACATCACGGTGAGTCCAGGCCAGCTCTGCGCACAAGCTAACCCAGCGTCTGACTATCGACTGAAACCAAATCGGTCCGCGGAAGGCACCGTGTTTACAAATTAACTACGAATAAAGTGTTCGCTTTCATTTATAAACTGTGTCAGGCCATTAAAATCCGAGTAACCCAGTGGATTAAAGTGGACGACACACGAACAGTGTTATGTTCACTTTGAAAAATTATACAATAAAACGTCGATTAGTAACGACGCTGCTTTTGCTAGCTTGTTAACTGAAACTAACATTAATGCTAGCTTGTTTTTGTTTGCCAAATTAACTGCGTTACTGTTGAAAGTAGTACAACGGCTAACTTTATCACTTATGGCCTATATCTAGTTCAATTTAAACTTAATTTAGTTCGGTCATACGAGGGCTTTCACTACACCCCAGCTGCTTTCAAGCAGTATTTTACTGTGTACGTGTGTTTTTAAACAGACATAGCGTCGAGG